TATATTATATAATATTTTTAGTGATTTTCCTTCGTTTATACAGTATTGTGTAGTCTGACATGTTAAACAAAGCAATGGATAGTACGAGAGAATGTGTTTTCTGAACATCAAAGCATGTAAATGTTTTCTAGTCCCCCAAAATAAAATGATAAACCTGAAAATATGTATAATATGTCCTTTTTAAGGACTTGTCATCCATATTGGCAATTTCACCAACATCTACAACTTTGCTGCTGATGAAGTAATGGTGAATGAAGCTGACAACTGCAGATCAATTGATTTAACACAGTTAAGGCAAAGCAGTTACATATATATATATATATATATATATATATATATTAAATAAGGCTTTTAATAAAATAAAGTCAGTGTTTAAAAAGCACAATAAAGAGGAAAATAAAATCAGTTTAAGTTCTTTAGTGCTCAAACTATTTATAATACAGTAAAACTTCTAATAAAAGCAGTGTCCCAAATAGATGCAGGTCTCCATTAGAGGCCTGGTCTGAATTTTATAGGAATTCTTTCGATGGTCGCCTGCTTGAGCGAGTTATAAGTATAAGCATAGTAAACAGTAGGGACGGGAAAAAAGGGCTGACTCACAATCTTTGAAGCGATAAAGTCCGTACCATAAGTGTCCATTCCTCCATTATTTATATTCCTTTAGTCCGAAAGAATCAAAAGGTTTTATTAAAATGAATCCTAGTTGTGAGTGTTGTCATGTGAACCCTGTTGCTCATTGTCTGTGTGCTGGGTGCGGCACAGAGAAGATAAAATTCAAGCTGTAAGTTGTCAGACTTGCTGAACAGACATTGGTGACTATAGCCATCGTTTTCTGTTTGTGTTCAGATGGTGGAAGAAAGTGAAGAGCGGTTATCAGAGGAGCAGATTGAGGAGCTCATTCATACGGTCGCAGACGCCCTACCCGGTGACCCGGAGCAGGAAAACGCAGCTCCAGCAGATGCAGAGATGGAAGAACAACCCGGAGAACAGTCGTGACACAGGCCAGAAGTGACTCATACTGAAGGTGGAGAACTGGAGTGAAGGCTAATTTTTATTACTGGTTGATTTTACCTGCGCTCCCTGTTGCGTCACCGTTTGAACTGAACAACTCTCGGAGAGATGGGACGCACAATGGCAGCCTGACTGGGGCTTGAAGCAAGTTCTTTCAGATTTTTGCATTTCCGTGTACACATACAACTTCAAATCAAACTTGTGCACTCTTGCATGAGTACGGGTTGGACTCTGAGTCACAAAGGGCTTGTTTTGCATCTGACTGATCTAATCTGTATTTCACATCAAATAATGTTCATGCAGAGAAAGTCTGGTATATTTTTGGTTTCTGACTTAAAGTTAGTCATCACTTTCTCCCATGGTGCATAGAATTAAGGCTTTCTGCTGCTGTATGATTTCCCCAAGCTGTAATATAAGTCAGTCATGCAATTAAATTTACACTGGTACACAGCACTAACATAGGTTCAGACAGTAGTATTAAGAGAGGCTATGTAATAAAGAGAGTATGGACCAAGAGGTAATTCCTGTGTCTTTTTTGTTTTTTTAAACATGTTGATCTCTTCCTTCTGTAACAAAATGAAACAGCTGAAATGTGTCTGCAGCTTTGTGTCACTTTGCATGTCATAGTCAGTGAGCAGGGAACTTGGCACAACAGCTTTCAGAAAAGGCAGTGCGACATGACAGACTGTGAAGAACTGGTGCTAAATTAGGACCATAATCTAAAACCCATTTCACACTCAGACGACACAACGCAATGGTAGAAAAGCACCTGTAGGACGCCATAAATACGTCGGTCGTTCTATTTGCTGGTGGAAGTAAATAGTTAATCATCCTAAGTAATATTATTGTTCTCATTTAGTTGAGCACACATAGTTTTTCGTAGATTTTCGTAACCACTTAGAGATAACACAGGATATAAACTACTAAGTGACACGTAAACCCACAGCCTCTTCGACTGCAGTCTCTGGGTTAGCTGGTGTCTTTTGTGCTGGGATGTTGTGAAGTAGCAAAGGAAGGATGTGCTGGTTAGAGTCACTTATTTTTCTGTTCTGAATTTCCTGTTAATGTGTCACATCAGTTTCCTTTGCTTACTTAACAGTAGTACCTTGCCAAGGCAAGACACTGAGTCAAACTGAAAATCGTGAACATAGATTTTGTTGCAGCACATCCAGGAGCCCCAAGTGACTCCCCTGCCCCCCTTTGACCGGGTGAAGCACCTCTCCCTGCAAATTCAGAGAGGTGTGGCTGCTTGTTTGACTGACTCCACTGAAGCCCAGAGAGCCCACAGCAGTCTTGAAAGTGCTCTGCATGGTGTTATTCTTATATTTTTAATTCATTTAATTTATTTTTATAAGTTAGTCTCAGAGTCCAAATACAGTTTAAACAGCTTAATTATTTAGTTTTTGCTTACAAGTGTCATAGGTAGTATTGTAGCAGTGAAAAACTACACGTTGCACAGAGGGTGGGATGAACAAGGCCCTGTTAGCTCATTTTAACCCTGAGACACCCTCGTAGGTTAACCCGGCCATGACTTTCTCAGTCTCACTTCCAGTGTGTGTTTTTCATACAGCAATAGGGACACGTTATCTACTTAGTGTCCACCCCCCCCCCCCCCCCCC